GTCCATGAGTAAAGCTAATTTTTGCAGTTAGGCCCCAACGACAATCACTATGTTTGAAAAATGTTGTCACTTTTTTTATCTTATGAGGTTGTTTGTCGGTGAAAAACCAGTTCGTGTAATGGCTTCCCATGTTAATCTACAGGGCGTGTTGTTAACCTACTGGGAGCGCTGATAGTCTTTATGGTTGTTGATAACTCATAGTTGTTTATATTGTTGTGTTGTATGTGTTATTCAGGACTGTTAATAGTCTCAGGGATGCTGATAACCTTTAGTTGATTATTATGTTGTGTTGTATGGGGTATTTTGAGGAAACTCACGAAGTTTATTAAGTAATCGTGGAAAGGAGAAGATGTAACTGTACACATTCATCGGTATCAATGAAGATTCTGCGTTTGCTATAATACTCTGATTTTTAAACAATGTACTTTGGAACTATCGGTTTTCTCGTGAAATTGGAACGTTACAATATTTTTTTTTTTAAAAAGTTGAGGCAAAAAATCACGGCGTTACAAGGAAGGGCAATTTCTAGTTATAGATAAATTGGAAGTACCATGATATCAAAACTATAGGGACTAATTCTAAAATTTCGCATCCAAGAGTAATGAACTAGCAAGTCTCGACCATGAGGCCTCACACTTGCCCAAGGGGTTGCTTGATAGAATATGTCTCAATACGATCTAAATCAGTCAAAGTCCTGAATTAGACATTTAGACTCTGAAAAGTCTCCCTCTAACTTAAAACATATTGTTTGTTTAAACATCTAAATAGTTCTGCTTAATGATAAAAATTATCATTTTACCTTTTTGTTCTAAAATAATATTGTATACCAAAAAACCATCAAAACTTTTAAGCAATTCATAGAACATGTTATTAATTTCAGCAAGAACATTAAAAATCATCAAGATTAGAAGCAAGAACATCAATTAAAATTCAACAAAATTCATTAACATTGGAGGCAAGAACATCAAAATTCAACATCAGAAGCAAGAACAATAAAATTTTCATATGCATTTCAGTAATAACATCAAAATTCAGCAACATTAGAGGCAAGTTTTCATATGCATTTCAGCAAGAAGGTCAAAAAATATTTTTTTTTTAGAAAACCAAACATCAAAAGAGAACATCTCCAAATTAATAGCATTACTGATTTGTGAGAGAATAGAAACAGATGGAGGCGGAGTTGTTGTTGTGTGCGATGTTGGAGGGGAGAGAGGATAGCTCCAGGCAGTGAGGTTTGCATGCACACTTTGTATTTGATACATTATTGAGTTATCACATTTTGCGTTTGATTATTTATAAATTATCGATAAAAACAAAATAATGAAATAAATTAATTAATGTATTGGTGTTATAGTTAACGGTAATTTAATTTTTAGTTTAGAAATTCAGATTTTAAACTGGTTCTACACGTGTATTACATACTCTTAAACAGTGGTGGAGCTACATGGGGCGGTGAGGATATTATAGAGTCCCAAATGTCTTACATATATAAAAAAAATTGTAAACACGTTTTATGTTATTGCACCCTCAGAGAAGGGATTGTATCATGTTTTAATGACTGAGATAGGAAAACTACGTAAAATATATCTTTTTCAGTTGCTACAACAAGTATAGAAAGAATAAGTTGTGGAATCGTATGGATGATCAAATTTTAAACGATTGTTTAGTCACTTTTTCATTGAGAATGATTTGTTTCTACAAGTTCTTGATGATGATATCATTGATCGATTTCAAGACATGATAACTAAGATGATTAATTATAACTTTTGCTTAAACTATCTTTTTTTTTTCAATTTACAACTTTAAATATTAAAAAACTTTTTGCATTTACTATTTTGAATCTTAACAATGTTTGTATCTCCGTATCAAAATTATTGGCTCCGCCACTGCCCTTAAATGTTAATAATGAAATGAATAAGAACATTAAGATATATATATATATATATATATATATATATATATATATATATATATATATATATATATATATATATATATATATATATATATATATATTTGATTATAAATAAGTTTTGAATGTATAAACCTATCTGAATTTGTGACAAGTATCGGTCTTCCCATACCTCGATTTATATATTCCCAAAGATGAGAGGAAGAGAATGAAGTCAAAGTGATGGGGGAGTAGTGAAATAAAGAATATTAGTAACATGCCAAGATCCCGAAACATGAACACCAAGGCATGGTCATGTAGGGTTTCACTTCTTATTTTGGATATTTATTATTTCTTGGTTATTTATCTTTTAATCTATAAACTCAAATAGGAAATCGCACAAATAAGTTATATAACCACATGTTTGTCAATGTGTGTGCATGTTTTTTTTAGAACGACAATAATTTTGTTAACAACCCGTTAGCAAAGAGCTAACGAAAACAAAACAACCAAAACGGTTCACAAAAACGCATAAGACTGAGATCAAACAACTAGACTTATACAACCATCCTACCCAAATAATTTTTTTCTTCCAATATTTGTTACTAATTCACAAAAAGGATTAAATAACCATATTATCCCACATATCCTTCTTTTTTAGAGATAAAGACCAAAAACAATTGAATTCCACAAAAGCCAAACATACCACCACATTACCAAAAAAAAAAAAACAATGTGTGTGCATGTTATCTTTTATAAACTCTTATTCGGTTGACTAAATAAAGTATAAAGTTCAATATCTTGTAACATCTGAACTTTAAAAAAAAAAGGTTTAGCGATAAAATTATAGTAATAAAACAATGCTGCAACGGGTAATTATAATCAACAATTAGTATAAGTATTTAAACCTTCAATTCGCAACTAAAATATTTAACATTCAATACTAAATTAGACTAGTACAATGATCTGGTCATACAAAATAATTATCAATTTATGCAACTAATCATCATTTATGCACATGTCATGTATAAGCGATTTACGTAAAGAACATGTAAAATCTATCGTCTATATATTTAAATAAATGTAAGGATATTACTTTTATGTGTAAGGATTCTACGTACATTCTTATTATCCGTAAAAGAACAAGTGTGTTGTTATTAATTCTAAGACTGAAAGGTACGGTGATGGAAATGACCATGGTTTGCTGACTGGGACACGAACACCACACCAAGTATGTTGTTATTCCATGCCATAAGTGGCACATGACAAAACTATAAAATAAAATTAAAATTACTTTATAAATAACATTTATCACTTACGTCTAATAAAAATTACTCTAGGTGAATACATATATCACAAAAAGCCTAATTTAGTATTTTCGATATTTCTTTCACCATTGTTACTGCTTTCCAACCAGGTCCTAATAATCCAACAAGAACTTCTACGTAATGTTGGGGGTGTCGGGCCCAACAAATAAATAGGGTACAAAATAATAATTATTTCTTGAACAAAAGAGTAGTATAAGATAAGTCATGTTGATATTCATGAACAAGAAGTAATGGTCTATATCTTTTTGCATAAGTCAAACTTGTCCAACATAATAAACAAATAACAAAAAAAGGGATTTGTTTATAAACTAAAAACTGGGAAGTAAACAGAAACAACATAAAAAAAAATTCCCTTAAAAGAAATTTAGAAGTAAGGCTCCGTTTGATATATGCTGACTGAGAAAGTGCTGACTGAGAAATGTCTGTCTGGGTAAGAACTTCTGACAGAGTAAGAAATCATGTTGTTTGATTGTACATCTGACTGAATGTGCTGACTAATGAAAAATGACCATTTTACCCTCACGACCATTAGTGGTTAGTTCATGGATACATGCCTAAAGAAAGGTTTTGTCCTCACACTCGTTCCAAACCAACATCCTAAAATTATAAAATTATAAAACTTGTATGAATCAACAACAATCAAGAATCAAAATCCTCAAACTCATCACTAGAACAACAAACAGTCAGGTATGTATGAACTCTCAAACTCATCAATAGAACAACAAAAATTCAATTTAAGTCCAATATTTTCCTAATATGAATAGAACAAAAACATAAACATCAAACATGAAGAATGATGGAGGCGCTGTGGAGGAGATTGTCGGTGGTGGGAAGATGCAGAATCGACGAGAAGGAGGCGTTGTACAATGGAGAATGATGGAGGCGCTGAAAGAAAACGTAGGGCAAGGGTAAAGTGGAACTTTTCTCAGTCAGTTGTCTTCCCGTATCTATCCCATTCAGATTCCTTCTTACCAAGTCAGATACCCATAATTCGATTAACAAACGCCTTTTGCTGACCGAGTCAGCCAAAAACGTCTGACTCGACTCGGTCAGACGTTTATCAAACAAGCCCTAAAAGTGATCCGTGTTTGACTGTCTTTCGCCAACGCCCGAATTAAAACTCGAGAACTTCAACTCAAAAAACAAAGCCTCTATCAAATAAACTAGCCTCACATTGGTGTTCATTGTTATTAACTAATTACATTATGATTTGGGAGATTTTAAGATTATGCAAGTAATAATGATCGAGATTTGATCTTGAACAAAATGATTAGAAAGGTCCGAGCAGTGGGTCAATGGGGGTACGCTGGCCCTTTAAGTTTGCGGACCATATATTTTATGAAAAGATGCACCATTTGCTTGATTATCATTTTCCCTTTACTTTGTTTGTAAGCTAGTTTTATTTTATTTTTCCTAAATTAAAATACTAATCCTCAAATGAAAAGGAAATTAATGGTTCATTGAAAGATTTTTTTTTTAAAAAAAAAGTCATTTTTATGTACTTACATAGTTGTTTATATATATCTATATAAAAAGCCTTTTGATATTACATTTAGATTTATATTAGTACAAAGACGTCTATAACTTGTAGTATAAACTACAATAATAAAAAAGTATCAGTATTACACTGCAAACTTTTTTATAGTAGGCTTTATAAGGAAAATAGTGGCGTGCAATAGTCTTTTTGGGATATAATATGATAACTACTTTTTAATGTAAACATTACAATATTTAGTTTTTTATTTTTTTCATACCATAAAGTCAGCTCTTGTTGATGTATTTGGCATGTCTTTAACTGTTACAATAAAATCGGTTGTAGACTATAAGTAACAAAGGTCTTAAAACTTTTACAAAATGCAAGAAATAATTTGATTACATTAATGAAAAATTATTACCGACTTGTTTTTAATCCTTCTTAGATGGGCTCTAATTTTAATGCTAAATTGTTTTTTTAGTAAACTGCTTCACGCTAATTTAATGCTCCTTTCCGTACTATATCATGTGCATAAAACTGGACCCACTTTGACGATAAATCAAGCAATCATCGACACCGTTGGATTCGATTGAAATGGGGCTCCGATTGATGAACTGATGTTCTGCATTTCGGAGCTCCTTTTGACGTCGGATCTCCATTACTTTCCGGTGTGAATTGGAGTGCTTTGCCGACACATACGTCGGGCTGGCAGCGGGTCGGTATTCCGGTACCAACCGACCTGATTTGAAACGGACTCCACATGCGTTGCAGAGTGTCTTGGGTCCCATCGGTCCCGTCCGCCACTGCGGCGTCTTGTCGGAACCGCAATGCAGGCATCTCGTGATCGAACTTTCAGGAATCTCACGTTGACGTCTCTTCGTCGGCAACATTTTCTGCAATCTGATCTCCGCGTTTGAAGATGATAATTGCTTCAAGTGGATGATCCGTGAGGTCCAATCACAGGGAGGTGCTCGTGAGAGTTTGCTGCGTGTTTTACCAGGGACGAAAACGTCTCTCTTAAATATCTGCGAGTTTACTCTGTTTCCGACTACTGGTATCCGTCGGAATTCAGACGAGAAAGCAGAGGACGATGTGTCGGTGGCCGGATTTATGTTCTCGGTGGAGACGATTTGCAGATTTTGAAAGTCATCGGTTGGGAATGATTCCTTTGTGAAACTCGAAAGCCATTCTAATTCCGCCAAGTCATCATACTGTATAACAAATTAACAATTCAATTTGAAAATTCACAATTATCTACCAGAATCAACTAAATCGAAAACTAAAACAAGTTTCATGACGTGATCCAGTCGTAATTACCGGTAAACAAAGCTCATCACCGGAGAATTTCGACTCAGAAAAGCTACGAGAGCTCAGATTACCGGAAAACGGAGCTTCACTACCGGAGACTGAGGAATTACAGCTATCGACAGCAGTCACCGTTGACGAATCACCTGAATTCCCAATCACATTGTTAAAAAACGCATCATTCAAAACAACATCGTCATGGTTAGGAAAATCGACGAGTAGGTCATCGATTATGAACTGATTGCTGTTATTGTTGATCATGTCGGTGGTTTTCTGGTGTCCAAAGGAGCATTCTCCGGCGCCGAAGTAATCCCCCATGAAGAAATTCGGTTCCTCCATCGCCATAAACGTGTGAATGTTTGCAGAGAGAAATAGAGAAAAGAGGGTAGGAAACTGGGGATAGGAATTGCGTTTGAAGAAGACAGGAGGACAAAGCTGAAAGGAAGTTGGGGGCTTTTTGAGGAGATGAGAGTGAAGGGGTGAAAATGTAAATTTATAAAAGGAAAGGAACTAGGAACTAGGAACTAGGAAGTGTAAAATTTAAAGCATCATCTAACCTGCTTCAAAGATTAAAAATAAATAAATGTAATAGATAAATAAATTTAATTACACATCACTTGCTACTTATGTAAAGTTGTTCCCTCCTTTAACATTTAAATTTTCCTTTACTTTATACAAAATCCATTGCTAAAGATATTAATAATTATCAAATAAAGTTTAATATCTAATTTACATAAAATAATATCAAAAAATATGCATATACAATCCTTTGAAATTGTATACGTCGAGAGACAAAGTAGGGCTATTTTGATTTATTTTCTGTACAACTTGTCGGGATATTTAAATGTGTGATATGAAGCTGATTGATTATGATTAAATTATTTAATTTTAATTAATCGATAGCATATAATTAATTTTGAAAGTTAAATGTAAATGATTTTTTTTGTCATGTATAATAATTTATGTTTTAGAATATAATAATTTATGTTTTAGAATGACTGTATAATATGAAAAAGAATATTATTTGTTGTGTAGAGTAAAAAAAAAAAAATTATATACTATACAGACATTCTAATTGTAAATTAAAAAAAAAGTAATTGAAACAGATAGATGGTCAATTAAAGGTTAGCAAAAGAAAAGGGCAAAGCATCCACCAAGAGACAGACCTACCCAAAGCCCCATGGGCTTAAATCATTCTTAAAAAACCGACAATTATTAACCTTTAGATTTACTGTTTACACATTCACAACTTCAAAGCATCCATGTTTCTTTTACATGCATTTTGCTCTTTAAAATGGCAAAATGTTATAAATAGCAAAACAGTTTTTGCTTCATTTTCTATTCCATAACGTAACCTTTATTATCAAAATCAAAATTATTCAACTTTTCGTACCATTTATAAGAATCTTTCGTTTTCAAAAATCATTATGGTCTATAGAGAGGTGTAAATTCATTGAATAACAACATACTTTTGGCTGATTTTCATTTTGACAATGTATTTTTTTAGTATGATAACAACATAATCTTATTCCTTTATGTTTAGGAAATTTACTTTCTTCATTTTAAGTAAACTAATAATATAGTTTAGATATTCTTTTATATGCTTGTACTCTAAAAATATTTGTTCAATTGTAATTTTAAAATCTTAACTATAATTTATACTTTTATGAAAATACAAGAATATAACTGATAAACTGAAAATATAACAATACAATACATTTTGCTGCTACTTTCAACTGTTAGCTAATCAATAATACAATCATTACGATCTATATATCTAATTAAAAGTTCTAGTTTTACTTGATTCATTTGAGTACGAATGTGTGATGATAAAATTAAAATTACCCATTTATTAAGGTAGATTGAAATAGATTATTTAAGTAATAATAAACCAAACGGATAAATATGTACTGTTTTGAGCATAAAGAATCGATCTATGGCAGGCTTTGTCCCCGTGTAATTGCAAAATTTGGAACATTTGTTATTTTTAATTAAAGAAAAACTGTTGCTATGTTTATTAGCCATTATTGCAATGTAATTATTAGTTTGGTTATAATTAGAGTTATAAAACGAAAAGGGTAGAATGGATCAAATGATTTTGGAAAAAAAAAGCTTATATACGTTACATTTGATTCGTCACAACTACATTTGGGTATATAGGTGACGTTTGATTCGTCACAACTAACAATTTTTTTTTAACAAACTAAAAACTAATGGATAAACTAGTTTTTTAAAAAACTACTCTTAGTAGCTTTTATGTACAGAGCCTTTTTAAAATTCTCTCTCATATATATATATATATATATATATATATATATATATATATATATATATATTATAATATATATATAGATATATATATTATTAGTTATACTAAACACATTTTTTTTTGACATACTCTTGATGTCATTTTAACACCTTACAAGTTATCTAATCGGCCACTTTTCATCAAATGTTATTTTTAACGGCTACCGGCTAACGTTTTAGCTATCAGCTAGTTTTTCAGATATAATTAACTTTTGACTTTTCATTTTTCAATGTTTTGTATATCATTTATATGAGCCTGTTGACTTTTGACTTTCAAATATGATTATTAAAAGTCTAATCTATCTTTTAGTAGTTAAATCAACAAATAATATAACAATAAGTTTCATCAAAATATGCTTTTATCACACACTATAAAAATGTTGAATCCCGTAATTCCAACTGTTCGATGCTAAATAATCTCACTCATTATATTCAATAACTCAATATAAATCCGATATTACAAAAACAATATAGAGACACTTCCATTGGGAATTGTGTTTAGGGTGAATATTAAAGTAGAAAAATGTGTACTTACCACCACTATTATGCATGTTCTTACATTTTGGTGAGCCACGTTGGAGCACGACGCTTCCAGCTCCCCCATCGTTGGCGTTTTAGTCTTATTATCCCTTCAACTTTCACCACCAAATCCATTCAAACTAATAAAATTTCATTAATTACTAGTTATATCATGATGTATAACTTTTTATATTGTGAACCAATTGAATTTGTTAAGAGTTTAGACTTAGTATGTATCATATATGCATATCAAATTTTGAAAAAGATTCGTCAACTATAAATTTAGATTACGATACGTGCATCTTCAATTAAAAAATGACAAAATAAAAAAGTTCTACAAGTTAAATAGCAAATGATATGATAAACTTATATTTAAACGGTATCTAACACGGCAAAACCACAGAGGTTAGGGCATGCATGTAAAACTTTTTCATACAATACCGTAAAACTATAGGTTTTAGACTTTAGGACAAGTTTGGTGTGTCATAGCCAGCTGATAAGTTAGCTTATTTTTTGAGCTTTTTAAAATTGTCGTGTTTTGCTAGTCAAAAGTATCTGATAAACTAGCTTTTTAAAAAACTACTTAAACTAGTTTTTCAGAAGATTTTTTAAAATTTTCCGAATTTACTTAATTAAATATATAAAAAACATATTTTCTAATGTTCTTTTACGTCATTTTATATCTTTTAGCTAGCTTATCAGCTATTTTTATCAAACGTTGTTTTTTTTTCAGTTACCTTATACACTAACAACTAGTTTTTCAGCTAACAACAAGCTATTTAGCTAACAACAAGCTTTTTAGCTAACTTTTCAACTATCAACTAGTTTTTCAGCTAGTCTTTCAAACATACCATGAGTTGTCCGTTAAAACTTGTTTTTCTACTTTTTGATTACCTTTATAATTTATTGATGTATTTAGTATTAGTATAGAACACTACAAGTCAATAATCACAAGTTTGTTTAATAAGAATGTCTAAACTATATAAATAAATTATATTTGATCTTTTCTTTTACTAATTTGACATGTTTGTATCTAATGCCATCCATTTGATCATGGAAAATATTGAGAGATGTCCCTAAACTTTGAACTCATTTATAAAAAATCAATGTTAAAAAAATAGAAATAAAACATTCAAAACTTGATTTTTGTTTGATAATCCACTAATTAGCGAGTAATAAAATCTAATGGCGGTGATACTCAAGATGCTACACAAGATGCAACACCATAGACTCAAGTTGTTTATGAGAAAAGTAGTGAAGAGGAGGATATAGATGACACTCATGAAGCAACTTCTACGACTAAATTGAGGATGCCGTCACATACGATGACACAAATAAAGTTAAAGAAACAAGTGGTTGACAAACATGGTGGTGTGATAACTTTTTGTGTAAATGTGTTTGGTAGCCTTTTTTGTTGATAACTATTTTGCTCTTGTAAAGTTGTAAACATTTATGGTTGTTTTAACTTGTAAACATTATGGTTGGCTTCACTAAGCAGTTTCATTTTAACTGTAAATTATTTGTGAATTTATGGTATTTTGTGTATCACAGATTAAGTGGGAATAAATTTATCTTTCTGGTTTTGGGCAGATATCTACGAACCTAATTTTGGATCATAAGAAAGTAGCCAAATGGATTTTAAGATAGCTATATATAACAAAAGGCTATATGCTCAATCATAGGAAATCAGATGTTTTGGAGATCATTTTATTATGAATATGATTTTATTAGATGTCAAAATAGTTATCGATCCATATCAAGATACTTTTACATTTTAGCATGATAAGCCATTTCATGGAATAGACTTCGGTAGCTTCTTCCATAATGGCATCATAATTTGTAGCATGGAATATGGTTGCGGAAATTTGTCACGAGGCTACACATTATTGGTATTGAAAGACCACTAAAGTTGTGATAATAAGTCAGCAATGTTATATTCCAACAACAAAAGTTCTATTAAGTCAAAGCATATTGACATCAAGTTTCCTTCTGCTAACACAATAGTGCAAAATGGAAATATATATAGCACATATGAACAAACTCCATGAAAGCGGATCCGCTCATAAAGGGATTACCTCCCTAGGTCTTTCATGAGCATACTACACACGTTGGTGTGATATTTGGTTTTAGTGGGAGTTTTATGGTGCTTTATGTTTTGTTTAAGATCAATTATGTTTTTCTGTACAGAATTAAGAATTTAGTTAACTCCATTATTAGTTGCACTTATTTGAACTTTGATCTCACTTCAATCTAAAGAGGAACTCGTTGGAAATCTATTTAGATTTTAAAACCACACATCATGTTTAATCTATGTCGTTAGTTATATATGTATATGTGACCATTGATAGGTTTAGTTACGTAAATTGTAACGAAGGCCACTTTGATCCTATACTATTATGATTAGTGGACGAGATTGTTTAAGGGTACCAATGTTATAATAACATTCATTAAAGCGCTTATACAGTTATACGTACATTTATATATTCATGGTCCAGTAGGAGATTGTTGGATAATTATGGGACCACTTCATAAATATGTACGATATATTATTAAATCCAGTTATTATGGTAAGAGTATAAATTGTTGATGGACCGATTTATAGAATATTTACTTACCTTGTGGGTTGAGTTTCCGGTTTGACTCAAGATCCTCAAGATCCCTTCCATCTCTTACATTAGGG